AGAAACGTTATTTCATTTTGTAAGCAAATACCGTGCATCGGAGTGAACAAAAATTAAGCAATCAAATTTGCTTAGAAATGACGGGATTTCAATTAAAAGTTTTTATTTTAAGAGAAATCAGTTGCATACTATCATTGTCTGCCAAAAAAAATAAGTGAAATCGGTACGAACGTCGCTGGTGGAAACCAAAAGAAAATTCGTACACCAAAAATACCTCTTGATAGTACATAATATGCAGAATTTAAGTATTTAAAGTGATATTACAGATCTCAACAAAAACATTATTGATCGTAAAAAGTTTACCACCCTGTTTCTCAAAAGTCAAGAAGTTTAGGACATAAAATTATATGAAGTTTTCTTCTAAAAATGGAACCAAAAGTCGCCCTCTTAAATATTGACATTCAGCTGGAAGACATCCTATATACATATTTTATGTAAGTAAATCTGAAATTATGAAAGGTTATTGCAATACACTATTGTAGTTTTTCAATAAATAGGTTCTTTCAAAAATATCTGGAAATATAGATTTCTCCAAGTTTTAATCCTTCTTTTCTCTTGAAACAAATGCTTTTTCTCTATCATGATGTTAACTAGATTATATGCTATTTTCTAAATTACAAGCTATGTAAACAGAGATAAAAGGATATCTAATCAATTACAAGCAAAACTTTCTAGTTGGGGTACATTAGATCATATTTGGAAAGTGAATTCACTGTAGGTACTAAAATAAATAAAAAATAAAATTTTTTGAAATATCCAATTTAAATATATTGACTCTTCTTTTTCCTCTAATAACCTTACACTGGAGTTATTCTGTCTTGGAACAGTATCTTGTACCCTGAAATTATCAGGATCGGATGTATCTTTGAGCAATACAAGTCTATCTGAAAAGATACTATTATAAGTAATGGTGATTTCTTACGTTTTAGTCCTAAGTACCGATATAACCATCAGTGTTGTATTATATTTCATATAACGTTTTTGCTAGATCACTGCCACCGTTTGCCACTGTGCTGTGATGTCAAGTATTCAATCTCAAACCCATGGCATTAGCTTTGTGAGATTTTGATTACAATATTCAAAAAGGCACTTTAACGAGTTTCGTGTAACATTTTAGCTGTCTCACATGCAACATTAACCATTAGACATTCGAAAACCTCCTGCCCAGGCCTAACAAAGCTCCTCTTGAACTTGATAGCTTTTAACGTTTATGATTATATAGGCTTCTGCCTACCTTTAATTCACAAATTGCAATGTAACACATGTCAGTCACAAAAAGCAAATTGACTTTTTATTTCTGTAAGGTTGGCTCCTTCAAATATGATTTCAAGTGCCTGGATGCATGACTCCATTCTTCGGAAAATCATTTGCCTCTTTATCCTTTCAAAATAGATGGAAGATGGAATTTTACTGAGTTTTGTATGCAATATCATGACGATTTATATCTACAAAAAGATGCATAGATTCAAGAAATATTAAAAATCTTACGCCTTGGTGTGGGCTGCATTCTTATAAAAATATTTTTCAGAGTTACAGTCTCAAATTTTTAGGTTAAGGTTCCCACTACTAATATAAAAAAATAACAGATAAGGCAGGGCACATTTAAGCTCAATTTCAGAGCATTTAGACATTATGCATACTTGTAGCCTGACACTATCCAAAGTCCAACAATGATTGTGGACAGGCATCTCCGACATCAACAATGCAGTTGCACTTGCGAAACAATGTTTCTTATCCAACATCTCATCAAGTCTGTGAGAATGAACCAAACCTGAAAATAATACGATAAGTATATACATAATATGAATATGCAATGATTTGTCTTGTAACCTACCTACCTTCATCAAGGGAACAGCTTGGTTGTAAGTTGTTGTCAACATTATTTGCAAAAAAATAATTAATTATGCTTCTGCCTTGGATTCATGTGCCTAACATTTCTTAAACGTCAAAACAACAACATAACCTCTAGGCAGAACTGTCAGCATGTCGGAAATCTAAAGCAGGACATACAAGTACCTTATCGAAGAAGACATGATATTATCGAAATCAAGTAGGCCATAAAGGCATCCTACAATTGTAGGAACGACTGACGATACGGGCCTAAAGTGACTTTTTATTTTATTGTTTTGTGTCACGACATATATGTATGTATGTACACACGTATGCATGAACATACGCATTATATTATACATATTTATTAAAGTTTTTTTTATTTTAAAAACATTTATATACATATACGCTTGAAATATGCCAGTTTCTTTAATATTCCCAGTTTTCATTTAAAACACCATTTTTGTTGCATTTCTTTTATACGGACACCCCTCTTGACCGGACACTTACAGTCTGTCCCGCTGGTATCCATCCAAAGAAAATTTGACTCTATATATTTTGAAAATGTAAGTCTCTCGTAAAGGGCGCCCTCTATGAGACTAGGCTTTTCAAATTAGAATTAGAAAAATTCGTATATATGATGCACGGTATCTCGGATAATTTTTCAGACGCGCGAAAATAGTATTAGGTTGGCTATCTTCAGACAGGATACGCCAATCAATGACATAGTATGTACACATGGTATTCAGTTGGTGTGACCCATTCAGAGTGAAATTAGGGCATCACTCTTCGACTGGTGGGTAGCAGCTCATTAGCGCCTTTTGTAGGATGCTAAGCAGCCTTCGGCGGCTGACGTCGTGGCGCCTCGGGCAGCTGGCGTCCCTGGCGTCAACCACTACTCTCTTACTCGTGAATTATGTATTAAATAAGACACATACTGAACGGGATGTAGCTCAACGCTACTAGGAACTAACAGACATCCACCTTATACAGGGTGTTTCATTGGGGGGAACGAGATATACGTATTAACCGTGGATAGGGGCCAGTGAGGGGATTATGAATGTAGCATTGCAGCTACATAAATATATTTAAAAAAGTTTATTGAGAAACTTTGCAAAGTTCTGTTACTTGATTACAATTTGTTGCAAAATATTAAAATGACATGACTGAATCTAACCTATGAACTTATACTATGCGTGACTTTCTGCTGAAGATGCATCAAGGAGAAAATAAAAGAAAGTCATTGCTGAGTAATTATGATGCAATATTGCATTACATTGTGAAATAGTACAAAATAGACATATAACATGAATAAACTCAGTAACAAAAAAAAAAAAAAAAAATGGAACATATAGTGAAAATAATTCATTGAATGAATTTTGCTAATAATGTGATGACACACCTAGATATTTCTAATGAGCTGATATATGTCTTCTTAAAGTATCTCATCCCGATGCAAGCACTTGATTCCGGAGAGCTGCTAACGTTTATAAGACGATGATTGAATGATAAACATGAGAAAACAATAATCTGGCCTTACAAGCGTACGGAGTACTACCCTGTACCTTTTCACTCTTATTAAGAGGTAGTACATAAACAACTTATCGAGGGATTCAGTGTCAGGATAATTTCAGTTATTTATTTGGTGACGTAACGACAGGGGAGTTGTCCTTCCTTGGCGAGACATAAAGTCGACACAACTGGACTGTCGGGGCCAAGCCTATTTTTGGGAAAAACCTTTGAGTACCTTCCATATTTTACCGACTCATGACACATTTCTACTGTCTATTTTTATGTTAATTGGCTGTCTTGATACTGATCATAAAACAATACAATAATGTCCATGATATTTCTCAATTATATTATCAGATAGATATCAGAAACACATTGCATGGGGAACGGTAGCTTCCTACCGCATGGAAGCCACGCGCACCTTAATAATCTGGTGCTTGGACAGATATGCCAAGTTTATTAATTGTTACGAAAGGCAGTCCAGAAACCAGGATATCACGCTGTCGTGTCAATACCCAAAAGTTTCGAGATTACCCTCTGATTCAGAGATAACCAAAGCAACATCAACTTTAAAGTAAAAATCCGTATACTTTCAGACCTGCCATGAGATACTTTCAGACTCCAGCGATTGCCACGAGAGGAAGCTAAGCGGTCATACAGATCTAGAATATCACGCGACCAAAAGCCATTGGGTCAAAACGCTCCGAAATTTCCCCTGACAAAGGAAACCGAGCAGTAATTACCCCCCTGGCAACCCTGCCCTGTAAGTTTCATAAAAACTCCCAGGATCTGGAGGCGTCACACGTTTGTAGATGTTTGACTCTATGTTACGCCTAACTTTATCTTAACTATTGATAAACATATCTCATCTGACTATTTTTGAATTAAGACAATTATTATCGTGATCATAAGGGTGCCATGGTTAGAAAATACACATGACATGCAGTACAGCAAAGCAATAAAAAGTAATCAGTGAAAATCCTCACCTTTTGACCACAAAATTGATCTGTAACTGATATAGGCATTATCACAACACACAGACATTTCGACTTTTCAACTGTTAGAACAATATTCGAATGCACTAAGAGGGTTTGGCCCTCAGCGTGTCCCTGTTTTCACGAATACACGTGAAATTTACCAGTTGCGTAAATTGTTGCTGAAGTGTCAAGTGAATCTGTTACAGGGTGCCTCACATGCAGAAAAGTGTTTAAAATATTGTATATGGATACACATTGGTTAAGCTTGACATAAAAAGGTCGTTCTTCTTCGCATAATATCTCACGCATGTTCAGTTGGCGGATGGCCTCAAGATCTAGGAGGCCAAGGAAGATGGTTGATTTGACTGTTATTGAGGTAGTCAGTTTGTCGGATAGTCAGAGTGAGCTTACTCAAACTAACGTCCGCGCATAGAGTCGGATGTGCATATGTATGTGAGAGAAATGGATGTAAGAAATTAATTATTTCTGTAGTCTTACTTTGACTAGCCTAAAACCTTGAAAATAACTAAGCGTTTAACATGCTAGGCACATGTGACGCTCTAATAATATACTTTAGTTGAATCATAATTCAAGAATATCGAATCTGTACATTCAAGATAATTTCCCCGTTTCCATGTCTGTCATAGTTCATTTGAAACGTCGTTTTTCTTTTTGTTGCAGGAATTTCTGCTAGCGATAGACGTGACATCTAGTGGAACACCCGAAGAAAAACTGAAATGGGCTTTCCGGATGTACGACGTGGATGGAAACGGCGTTATAGACATACAGGAAATGACCAAAATCGTCCAGGTACGTTCAGTAGCGTTTAGTATTAATAACGTGTTTTATAGAATATATACAGGATGTTCCAAAATATGTGCATTCGATGCATGGGCGCCTCTAAGGGGTTGCATATTTAGCATATTTACAATTTTGGGGATTTTTAAGATTTGCCAAATGTGATGATGGAGAAATATTGTCGGCACGCGTCTTTGTTCCCCCTGGATTAATCGGCGTCACAGTCTCATGTGCCGTGCTGTCGAGTAGTTGCGCCAAGGAGGGACGTTCTTAGATGAACGCTACTATCGGTAGGGCAGGGTAAGGTGTCTATGGACTCAATGTATGGGCCTGTTTGACTGGCATGATTCACTTTTTTTATCATACATATTCGTAGCTAAATTTTTTCTTAGGGGGTCTATCTTGTGCTGAAAACAATCCTTCATGAACTGATGACGGTGTTGCGTTGGAAGTCCAGAGTCAACCTACTTGTCGGCATGTTACTTCCCAGGCTTACTCGCAAAAAAAAATGGAAAATGCAATATGTTTTATAGATGTTAAATGACATCTAGATAACGAAAAACCATGTCACCATATATATCTTGGGAAGCACCTCTCTAATTTTGATAAAATTTGCACACATCTGCTATGCCAATGACGAAAAAGCTTTGAGTTCTAGAAAATCGGTTCGGTGGCGGTGGAGAAAAATGCCAAAAATACAAAAATTTACTAATACACTTTCAACCCCGGTAATTCTACGCACCTATTAGACGCATTTCACACATCATAGATTTCCTTGTGTATTTGCCCTTAAAACTTAGAACGATAGAGATTTGTTTTTGATACGCGTCTTTGCGTCTGAGCTTTGTCTTCACTGGCGGGCGTGCTGGTCTTCATAAGCGCCCTAGCATGACTGGTGCGGCCGCGCATGATGCGTCGTGGGGAGGGGCAACGTCAACGGACTTGATCCATCCATTATGCATGCTTGTAACTAAGATTTTTCTCAGATGGCTGATTTCGTCTGTCCGACCAAATACAGACAACTATGGACACCAGTTTCCTGATTTTTCGGCTTGTTCTTTGGGAGAACGAACGAAACTATAGCAACTATCCTCTATCTAGAATATAAGGTCAATGGTGCAGTTTCATTTCGATAGGCAGGGATATTACGTAACTTGAAAAATTACATTGTGTCGTTTTTTGAGATTATGTAGGTTTTTAATGGCATTATGTAGGTTTTCCTACAATATGTCAACTAGGAACTAGCTGTCGTTCACTTCATGCTCACTTATAGCAGGCGCGGAGTGAACTATTTGCACACTACCACCTATCTAGTCAACAAGTTGACTTTTTATTGTTTTTTTAAATCATATAGGTTTTTATGTAAGAACCCCGAGGATCTAACTTGTGCTGAACATAATCATTTATGAACTGATGAAGGCGTTGCGTAGCAAGTAGAGTCAACCTACTTGACGGGAACTGTTACACTGTGACTTTCTGTATATCAAGGATGCGAAGCAAAACATGTTTGGGCATGAATGTAAAATTGGGCATCTCGCATGTAAAGCTCTGCTGCAGATTAACTGATGTGAGAAGGCCAGCTGCCAAACCCACTACAGAAAATTTCACTGACATTTGGTTTGGTCGTCAATGACTTTTCAAATATATTCAATTTCACCTTTATACAAATCACTTCATAAGCTACCGCGACCCACCGAACTATCACGAATACTGTCAGTCGACAACCGGCAGGGGTGTTTTACAATTGGCAAAGCCCACTAGATCACGTCAGACGCAATATAAACGCCTCGAACCTCTCGTTTCTCCTTCCTCAATTATCCTGTTAGAATTAATGAGGACAGAAAATGGCTGCCCAGGTCGGGACGTTCATCGTTCCCGCAGGAGAGACGCCATCAGTCAGGTAGGTCGATTCAAGGGATGAAGGAAAGGGTGAGAAAATGATTTATCTCTGACCTCTCGTTCCTATATGCAAATTAGGACATTTTGAAGTTGGAAGACGAAGTTCCTCCAGAAAGATCATTAGAAAAATAAAATTCTTGTCGCAAGGACATTTTGTTCTCAAAAAGTGGAGCCGTCATCCCCTTCCCCTGCGCTGAGAAGCACTAATGAAGCCGACACCACCCCCTTCCCGCTCTTCAATTTTCAATCGCCTGTTTTCATTCCATTTTCATTGTACTCCTAATCCTTAAAAAAGTCCCTATGGATACGCCTCTGACTTCGAGTGACGAGATGCCCCAAAACAAAAGCTTCAGGAATCCTCACGTGCATTTGCCGATACAATTTAACGTGCTGCCCAAACCCCTAACGATATTTTATGATATTCTGTTATGATGTTTCTTCACAGCAATGTTTTCAAACTAACATGCACCATAAATTGAACAGACAGCAGTAATTTCATTGACAATTACTTGAAATAAGACTTCTGACTTCAGCTACAATAGTGTCCGCTACATGCTACCAAACGTTTTTGGCAATCTGGATCTCAAATTCGGTCGATTATGACAAATCAAAGTGAATAGTGAACAATTCAGACTCTGCAGCAAATGTGAATGTTGATACTCTACATTTTTCTAACATGATTTATAGAAGATTTTATTGATATGTTTATGAGTCTTTCTATATATATATATATATTACTTTCATAGAGTCTGTTTTATGAAAAATCGTCAGGATAGAGGTAATACGGCTCAAATGGTTAATAAAAATTGATGTTCAAGCACTGGGTCCAGTTAAGGGTGGTTTGACACCTGTTCATTTACAGGAGAAACCGTTTGTTATCCTTTTTTTAAACATAGTCAAGTTTGAATCTAGAATGTTTGCAGTTTTTAATCACATGATCAATAACGTGAAAAATGTTTCAATATTTGAATAAGGGTTACAGAGTAATGGTCGCGATGTTCACTTACTGATGCAGCCACCAACAAGTTCGTAAGTAACTGAACACCTTGAAGAATTTAGATGAAAACCTTGCTCCGTCTTTTAGAGATAGATGGATACCAAAAGAAAGTACCACGAGGAAGAAGTAGATGATAGCAATAGACACAAGAGTCAAACAAATCAAATCATCAAATTCAAGTACTTCTAAGAGGGGTTATTCCAACCCGCATAGAAAGCTGTGAATAAGAAAGTTCTCATGATTACGAAAATGGGACCACCTTACTTACAAAAGAGCAAGTAAGCGTATTGGTTAGTCGAATTATAAATAAAGCATAATTGTGTTGCAAAGGGTTGCAGGAAAATAATACTGAACTGTGACGAGACTGGATGCTTATAAAAAAATATATCGTCGCTTGCACTGGCTTTGAAAAAAAATCAACGAAAGACAGAAAGAGTACACTTGCCTTACTGCATAACTAAAGGTTGGTGGCAGGAACGATGAGAAAAAAAAAATAAAAGAAGAGAGAAGAAAGAGAAAAAGCAAAATGGGATAGAGTAAAGAAAATATAATATGAGGTCAGAAAAGTCAAGTCTTGATAAGAAAAAGCAAAAAACAGAAAAATAAACACGAGCGGCAATAGAGAGAATAAAGAAATACACAAGGAAGTGTACAAAAATCTCCCATCGAAAGACTGAATCATATGTAGAATACACAGCAATTGGTGGTAGGAGTCATGTACTTGGACAGAGAAGAGTTTATTTGTGATGAATGATAAACTTATCAGTACACATAAAATGTTTTTAATTTTTATTTCATATTCTAGTAGAAAAGCAACGAGGCAAATTAAGAAGTCTGAAAATATCAAATGATTCGAAGAGACACTAAGTTGTTCAATTACTGGCACAATGTCATTCAATTACTCGGTTAAAACTACTCACTTACTGGAGAATGTGACCTTTTTCAGGGCTTTAGCTCACTAATATGAACGTGGACAAGTATTTTCTAAAATATAAAGATTTAGCGCGAAAAGCAACTGTTGGACGATTAAGTAAATGGTTATCTCGTTTTAGAGTATTCAAACGACATTTTGAAGTTGAAAATCCGCTCAAGTGTTCAATTACTGGTGCCTCTACCCTAGTCCCATTTCACTGTATCAATAGTTCCCATCTGCCTAACACATATGTTACTCCAATCGCTACATAAAAGGTGAAGGGCTAGTGAATTTGTCCGTTGAGATTTAGGTCACACAGTTCGTGAAATATCGTCGGGGGGCATCAATTTCTCATCCTTGCCATATTTTCCTGGCTTACAGATTAAGCTGTTCCGGGAGTGAGAAGTGATATGGCTTATTCAAACAGTTTCATTAGCCTGTGTATACATTCACAATTCGCTGCTCCGCCGTTTTTTTTTTTTTTGGAAATGTACCTACCGCACGCAACGGCGCATTGCCGGCTGGGCAACTCAACAATGCACAGTGTAAGGCTTTCACTCACTAAAACCTCCTCTTTTTTCTAGACCGTGTTCCATCTACGGTACTACCTTGCGGCTTTATCCATCATAGATGGGGTCCGCCATTCATCCTTGGAAATGAAATGATATCAGGAAAGGGGTACCACGGGAGCCCAGATGTCAGATATGACATTCTGTCCATATGATTGCAGAGAGGAAACATCTTAACTCGATAATATCATAAAATAACGATAGGAGTTTTGCGCAGTACGTTAAATTGATACGATTGCTATGTGCTTTAAGTAACGTGCCTATAACGTGTATAGGAAGGTTGAGACAGCATTTGCCTCAAAATCGTAATGAAATCAAACAAGGGGTAGTGCTAGAATAAGTGATCAAAGTGGACCGATAATTGAGTTGAGCAGTTTATAATTAAGGATATAGTAAATTCTTCGCTGTAAAACGTGAAAGCCTTCTATGGATTACCCATTATCAACTGTCCAGTTTTGGACCCGTTCGTCTTCTGCGGGGACAAATAGCTTCACAGTCATGAAGTGGTGAAGTATGGTGAGGCCAAATAGATAGAAAATGGGTCGCTTGGGTTTCCCCGCGGGTCTTAACCTCATGGTGATATCTGAGTAGGAATCTACGTTCTCGATTCACTTAAAGAACGAAAGTCGTTCACATTACAGATGCTCAAAAGTTTTTGATATGTCATAGGAAACTTAAAAATATAAGACTTTGTAGGGCAAACATTCCGTTTCTGTCTCGTGTTGTTGATGTTCTTCATTCCACAAACTATTTACATACCCGCAGGAGATTGGTGAACGTCTATTTGTTTTTTCACACCTGAATTACTATAACCCTAACGTTGTCATCTTATCTGATTATTTATATTCAATAAATTATGTTGCCCTGGTAGTCGCAATTGATACATCGCCGAGGCATCGTTGACCTCTTCTCAGCTGGCTGTTCAGGTTAAAATTCTTCCTGTGGGTCACGAGAGAGAGAGAGAGAGACAGAGGGAGAGAGAAAGGGAGAGAGAGCGAAAAAGAGAGAGGGGGAGAGAGAGGGAGAGAGAGGGAGAGAGAGAGAAAGAGAGAGAGAGGGAGAGAGAGAGAGAAAGAGCGAGAGGGAGAGAGAGAGAAGGAGAGAGAGAAAGAGAGGGAGAGAGAGAGAGAGAGAGAGAGAGGGAGAGAGAGAGAGAGAGCATCGCTTAGTGTACTTAATATACAAAACAATTATATCATTCTGTCTTAAGAACAAATATACGATATACAATGTACGTAATATGCGTGTGAAAGATGCTTAACGGGCGCGTGGAATTACTGGTGTTAGAAGTTTGCAAATATACTGCCGCACAGATACCGGCGGAAATGGGTGACATGTGTTAAAAACCAATTACAAATTTCATAAATCAGTTAAAAAAAAGAATATAGCTACAATTTAACAGAAAGTGGGGTAAATAAAATCAAAAATGCGCACGCAGCTGGCACTTAAATTCACCTAAGAAAAATAAGTCGCATGGTCAGTAATCACACACATCATGTTAACAAACGCTTTCGACTGAAGTTCGTTTCAGCTCTTTGGCATAAAAAAGAAACATTTTATATAATATAAAATATAAATACAATTTATATTTGAATTTTAATCGTGGCACCTGAAACCGTATTTGTGAAATTATTGTGGGATAATCTATTAGAATAAAACTAGAATTGCTGATAGTTTATCCCGCTGTTCTAAGGATTGAAGGCTAAGTCTATAAAGGAGAGTGTTATATTCTGTACCTCTAGTAGGGTATATGCCATCAATCTTGAAAAACAAGGTTTCTGAAAATTTCTTTTGAAGTTTATCAATAGCATCAATTTACATTTAAATCGAACACCATATCAGAGATCCTTATTGAAGTTTAGACCTAAACCTAAGCTAAAGTATAACATCTGTAAAGTACAAGCATTAAAATGTTTACCGTTCCTTATAGTAAAGCTATAGGTTCTGAAAACGTTTGTAATAGTTTGATTAAAATGTCCGTTGAAAGTTAGTTGAAGATCAAAATAGATGCTTAAATCTGAAACAGTTTCGTTACGCCCAAAAACACATTCATCCATATTATAATTGTGTAACAAAGCGTTGGTTTTCCGAGAAAAAGTTACTACTCTACATTTACTCATATTAAGACGAAGTTGGTTGTTGACGCACCAGCTTTGTAAGAAATTTATCTGATCTTGGATAAATATACAGTCTTCCAAACATATGAATAAAATTTCAGGTCATTTGCGAACATAAATTTAGAACATAGATATTATAAATATCATTTGAATTGTTCACGAACTTGATGTCAAGTTTGCGCTGAGGTCGATGAAAAGCCCTATAGCTTTTTGTCATCATATTTGAAATCTGCACCCCAAATTACAACAGTGCATCGAGAAAATCGCTTATACCCACACTTATGAGCCTTCTCAAATAAGTCCACTGAGGTTACGTTTCACACCTGACGTTCAGCAGACACTTTTTGTATACTTTGAAAGGATATCTAAGAAGCCACCTGAGTTGTCTCTATCAGATTGGAACATATCAATCGGTGATGGCCATATTTCACTTATCGGATTGGCTATTAAATAATAAACGACACAAGACGCTTTAAAACTTTATTAATTTATGAAATAATAATCATTTAGTGACAATATAATACACTGAGATGCATGTCTGCGACTCGCTCTTTTTATACCTCCACCATATAACGTTCTCGATTCTACTCAGGTCGCCTAGAAAATAAAAACTGAAGCGCACATTGTATATTAGTCAACCCGATACATTACGTTATTACGAGTACATGTTTATTTTACGTTCAGTCCTCGGTAAACATCAACTTTGTGTGTCCGACTACGAGCGATAAAGCGTACTTCAATAATATGTCTCTTTGTTTCAGGCAATTTATGACATGTTGGGCGCCTGCTCCGCAAATCGTCCGGCGGACTCGGCCGAAGAGCGCGCCAAAAACATTTTTGCCAAAATGGATGAAAATAATGACGGACAACTCACACAGGACGAATTCCTCAAAGGATGTCTGCAGGACGAAGAATTATCCAAAATGTTAGCCCCTTAGATGTAGGCTGCCTCAAAAAGTGATAGTGTATACTGACACTGACAAACTCGTTTTTAAGAGGTGACTAGGATATGGACACGTGATGAGTTAGATAGATTCGGAGCAAGTGAAAATGGTGGGATTGGGATTGTGATGGTATACCGACCCATGAAGAGTCTCTGTCTTTATAAGTACATATATGGTAGAGCTTCCATTTTCTAAATATGATTATATGTTTAATACCAATAGGTATTTCATAACAAATTCTAAATGTTGTTAGTATTTTATGTCTAAAAAACACAGTGTACTAGACAGTATTCTGGAATTTAACCTTCTCTTTTCTTCTTCTGCTTCTATCAACTGTCTACTTCGGGGTAAAGACTCGTAATGATTTTACAATTCTGTGTAGTCCAAAGATCATAGATAGAGTGTGATTGGTATATAGAAGTGTAATGTGACAGGAGTAAAGGTATTTGACCATCATGTCTAGAAATCCCATATTGTACTCACTTGTTCTGTGTGTGTGACACAACACCAATGAATATATTTCATTTGCGCATCAAAACTAGCAAATTTGTGCGAAATTAAAAGGCGGTGAAAAGTGTTTCAAAAATTTGTATGTCCGTACAACCCTTCGTTGTATACCCCATAGAAATTTCCGCAACTTGCTTGAAATTTGGGATTTCGCACTTGTATTTGTACATACATGTTTTATGTGGGAAGCTGTGGAAGACTTGAGTGACTACGGTGTATTTTTATTATATTTCTATTACTATATCATAGATTCTACTATTGTAGGAGCTACTGTCAGTTAAGTATGAGAAGAAAATAGATTAGAATTTACCATAATCTAGTTCAACAAAATTAATATCTCTATGATATGTAATAACCATTTCCTTCGACGAATTGTGAAATTAAGACGGTTATAGGAGAGTAAAAATCTGTTATTTATATATCCAGAATTTTGAACTACTGTAAATAACATTCAGAAAGGTAAAGCGAAAAAAAATGTACCATATATACATAGAGTGTGATCTAAAAGTCCCGGAACAGCCAGATATTTAGAAATATTTAAGATGTATGATTATTGTAAATTAGTACATATCCAGGATTTTCCCATTTCAGTGATAACCCTGAATTTAACTTTGAGCATAACCTCGAAAGTCCAAAGTCATGACGTTTCTTTGAAACGGGACCCCGTACTTTTAACCATGAAAACGCATAGAACATACAATTGAGGTTATGGTGAATCTCGGTTTCAAGATCATCAGTGAATAGATAGAGACAAATTGAAGCTCCTACTGCATTTATAGGATGAGTCTGACGTTCAAGGTCAAAATTTCACCTAAGGTCATATCTGAACGTTAAATTTCATGTCATTGTATTTTTAAGAATTTTTTTTGGTGATGATTTGACCGTCACGATCAAGGTCAAATTCAAGGTGTTCACTAAGTAGCTGGCGAAAAATACTGAACCTTTTCTATTCATTTTACTATACCTTTTGAATATTCTCCTTATTAGTTATTGGTCTAATAATCAGTAGTAGCAGGTCCCAGACTGTCGATCGTGGAAGTACCACCCCTCTTAAGCGGGGCCATAATGTGTCCATGTAACCTGAACACGTGTTTCCTCACTAGAGTTCGTGTGACGTCCCCCTTTTCCCTGTATCCCCCATTAGCCTCATAGTTCTGACCGGTATTTAGGCAATAGGCCTTCGTGGTGGTTCAGGTATAAAAAAAGACCATGCTTTTCTAGACTTTTGGATCACCCTCTATACTATATATTGTTCATATCCAGGGTACCCGAATTGCAAGATTATCCGAAAATTCGACATACTTAAAAAAATCTTCGGTCTTACATTATGCAACCCGCGATAGCAGTATAAATGCACTTCATCATGGTGAATACCATCGTGCTCGCTACCTACCAAGGAGTATTGGCTTTATCAGAAAAGTTCATCATAAATGAACCTATATCAATACTTTGTGTCTATTTATGCCATAATATTGTTAATTACGTTTCAAAATCAACAATATTATGTTCAGGTTCCTGATGTGTAGAAAGAATTTTTCCAAATCCTTAATCTGTTTAACGGAAACATTCATGACATACTTTTGTTTGTACGGAGCACGTTTTTACATTTAATATACTAACGAAAAGCGCATTGCAAACTTTTTTAATCAAAACTCGACGCGTTTGTTTTAGTTAGCTCCAGTTTTACATCAAGATGAATGTTTCAATGGTGAACTGACACGTTGCAGCTCGGTCAAAAGAAGTGAATAGATTAAAAAAGTAATTCATTTAGAAGCATAAATATTTATGCACAGATATTTTCTCCTTGGAGTTTGCAGGTTTTTTATACTGTTTTGATGCAAGAGTAGCTAAATGAAGTTCGGATGATATTAGTAAAATTACCTATTACAGGAAAAAAAATTATGATCTACATGAACAGTAATTTGCCCATAGGGATTTGCCAACTATAATAAAAAATCACAGCCGCAAACTTTTAGAAAATACGTGGACCAGCATAAAGCTTTTAAAAATTACTGGTGCTGTAATTCTAGCATAACGTTCTTGTCTATATAATCATATCATTAGAGATTTTAAAAAAATCATACTCATACTGAATACTCAGTATGGTGCTCTAAAAACAATCTAAACCAACGTTATTAAATAAGACAAAAACTGGTTGTGTACGACTTAATAAAATTGAAGCCTAACAATGACCAAAAATCAATTGAGTCAATTAAATAAAGCTATGTGATCCTTTTTCAAATCTAGTATTTAGGTGTAGTTCTCGAATTTTTGATCCCAACATTTTGTAAGTCCCAAATAGGTGTTTTTTGGATCCAACAATAATGGAAATTCTGAACATCTTTATGATTTACTTACATACAGATTTTTTAACCCAAGATCAAACATTCATCTTTATTCTGTTTCAAAAAAGTTGAATGCAAAAATCCTTTTTGCTGAATCAAAGAAATCAACGTTTTTAGAACCCATAAAGATCTTAGTCTTCAGTTACACTTGTCTTATCTCTAATAAGAATATACCGTATCTCAAGGTCAAACTCTATTTCACTCATGGGCTGTTAGAAATGCGGTGTTGGCGTTTGACAATACTACAATTTGAGTTGGAGGAAAAACATGATATTTTCCTACAAAACTTGCGTATGAAGAAAGTAGTAATTATGAGGTCTGAACTGAATTCATATTGTTATGTGGCACTTCTTTATAATTACCTATTTAGAAGAATTACCAAATCTTTGTCTAGTTAGAAATTGGTATGCACAAGTATAAGGACCAGTAAGTCAGAGGGTAAAAACAAAGTCTCACTTAAACTTTACAAAAAAATACCTAGATGTCGTCATCAATATGAATGTATTCTACTTACATTTTAAGCATATCATATAAAGTATAAAGTTTGTAGATCCTTTTTCTAAAACCAAATCATCTACCTTCCAACCAGTGATGGGCGTTTACATATACTTTGTCTAGGTTTCGATGTATGGCTTGTTCGTACAGTAGTCGATAACTTGTCGGTGACTGTCAAAATCAGAATCAGAGAGATGTTACCTGTTCGTACAATTTCTGACTGTTTGTCGACAGCTAATCCGCTGTTCGTACAGAACCTTCTAACAGTTCGGAGAACGCCAGTCAATCACTGTCAGTGATAGCTGTCCGAATGAGTCGAAACTATCTTGAGAACTGGTATTGCTTCGCAAAAGACATTTACTCTTCTCTAACGGACAGTCTGGGGACACTTTCGCACCGGTGGGTCTTCGGCGATCTAGCTCCCTTCTACCGCTAAGCTAAAGGCTTTGCTCCTAAAAGCTCTCCTCGATGATGCCGCCGCGCGATGACTTGTCACATATCCTCGGCTGACTACGGCCTCCGATCCTAAAAGTGTCGGTCTTCGTATATCCAGAACTGACCGATTTGACCGCTCCTATGTCGCTAGTGTATCGAGATTGTGGGGAGATAAGGAGGCTTTTCCTAGTTTTACCAATCTCAGGCAGTTTAAAAAACGGATTAACAAAGTTTCTTCAAGCTCCTCATAGCCGTCTCGCTGCCCTGGCATTTAAGCTTTGCCTGCGCGGCTGCTTCGGAGTAAACAAAACTATGAGCGATATATTAAGCAGTGAACACGCGGGAATGTCCGAATTTTCTTTGAAAGAGAGAATGAAACCCAAAAACCTGAATTTTGTGGAGGAAATAGTGCCACAATTCAACAGCAACGAGTTCTTGTAACAATTTCGAGTGAGCAAGTAAGTCGCAGAAAAAATTTCGGTGAAATTCCGTGGTAGTAACCATTTTAAATATGAGACAGCCCTATATGGAAAACTAACCCCCTATAAAGAAACCTAACCTGTATATATGTACTTTCAAGGTTTGCTGGATAATCAAACAGCCATCTTCAGGGATGTAGCTGATAGGATCAATGTTTCCGTGAGTATCCTTCATGCAGTTATAACCAGATTGACCAACTTTTTGAGTAGTCTGGCACCAGAAATCATGAAATAGTCAATAGAAAAAGAAAGATTTAGGACAAAGCAGTATTTCTATAATAAAAGTTGGTGTGATAATAATCACCTCAAAATTTCTCAGATCTGTTAGGTTGCAGAGAATAGTGATGGCGCTGTATTGTTGCGCTCTCGAGTCAATTATACGAGTACGGATATTCGGCTATAAGTTGTCCTCACTAAAGTTTTTATAGGACTATAAGTTCAATATGACATTATATGTTTTCAATACGCATTTCAAAATATCGTGGAATATTTTAGGTGGGATAACCAGATTAAATATTATAAAAAAATCAAAAATGTTACTATAAACTCAAAATGCTGCTAATACGAGTATTCGTACAGAAAGGTATACGCGAATTCATGTAATACGGCATCACAGCCTGGGGTGCCGCCTGCAAGACATATTTCTGACCTAGATATAGCACAAAAAAATGTGTTGAAAGCCATTTCAGGGATTATATTTGTCTAACAACTTATATCAGGGATACTTGATACTAGACAACTTTATTTCTTACATGCCACCACCTTATACCATAATCAAAAAGAAATCTCATAAACCCTCGATTTCGAATAGGCACCCAAAGACACACAATACATTATTCAAAAAATCATTTATATTTTTAGCAGCTAAATTATATAATGTAGTACCATAAGAAATAAAAACACGTAAATTTGAAAAAAAAATGGACGTAAATTCAAAGACTGCTTTGTAGTATGCAGCATGAATTCCTACTTTTTTTTTCTTTGTCATTCGATGACTTTTTAAATGAGAGTTGAATAGGAATTATTGAGTAAATCTGCATGACATTTTTTTGGTGCTTTTATTTTACTGGAATGAGTACCTGGTTATTCCCTCTAGAGAAAAATTCAAGCACTTTCGGGTAATTGGACGATAAATCCTAGATCATTCTGGTTTACAAAAAATCAAAATAGCCGAACTTTTGCAAAATACGTTACATTCGAATTATGGTTGTACTTGATTTCGGACTCTGACAATTTACTGGACAATAATCTGCCGACTAATTTGACAGTCAGAAGTTTCTGTACGAACAGTAGATCAGTTGTCAGTAATCGGTCCAAGCTCCCTCAGCCAACTCGTGAACGTATCATGTACGCAATCTATACAGTCAGTGACGTGTCAGTGACAGCTAACTGAATAAACTAGGTAAACTTGTGGCCAACTGTCAGTTTACTGACTGACAGCCAACAGGCTGTAGGAACAAACCATAAGACAATGCGTAGACAATGAATACAACGCGTATACAATGTAAACAATACGTATATAATTTATAGAATAACATAGGTGAGGTTAGGTTTACTCGCAAATGTCAAACATTATCGAACCGACAACTATAAAAACATTATGGTCGGGGGAGCTAACAAGTAAGATAATCGATGAACTAGAATTCATTTTGCTTAAAGATGGAAGAAAAGATTCCATCATGAGCTGTATCTGTAAAAAAAGGTTTTCTAATTCAATACGTGGCTTGAAATCGGGTAAGTTAACGTTTGTCGTACCGTAATATGTGGCTATCGCACTATTGTACCAATTTTTACTTGCCTAATAGAAGCACATATCAAATCAGAAAGTACAGTAAGAAGAAGTAAGTAAAACAGGTATTACTACTTACGAATGACCGATAACGTCATTGCGAATCCAAATATTGAGGATACGGACGACGCTGGATGAATTTAGTCATATGGGCGGATTTTGTTTCCAGAATGAATTTCATTTTATGTTATTTTATAAATATTCCTAATTCATTTAAAACTAAAATTCTGTATATGCAAACAATAAGTACCGTTTTCTAATAATTCAAAATTCAGCTTTATAAACATTGCTTATATGCAAGTGACCTAATTGAACTAATATTTGCTATTGTATATATTGTCTACATTGTCTTCATGAACATCAAGATATATACAATTACAATTGTATACCCGTGTACAATGGTGTATTTTACTTGATGTGTACAATGCGTTCATCACTACTTTCAACCCAAACCAAATGATTTAAACTTTACATATCTCTCGAATGTCTTAGATATACACCCAGAAGTCTGAATTGCATTTTTTCAATCATCGTTCAAGATATATCTCCCATAAGCAATTCCTTCAATTTGAAAAACATTTTTTGTGAATTTATTGAAACTGTTTGATTATTTTTCCTCTTCAATAGTCAATTTTTCATATAATTTCAATGGCTTTTCTGTAGACAAAAAAATAGTAAATGTACTTAAGTCCAACTGCTTCATGTTTCAAGTATCTCCTTTTTGATTAAATATAAGCATTTCTATTAAAATCAAAATGTAGAAAATGTCAATGTCAACCTTAAAAATGGTAAGTTTTTATTAGAACCGTACAAAAGACGTTCAGTGTTCGCACAAAATTAATTTTATATCATGATATTAACTAGGACAACTCAATTTTACATTTTAATGAGTTTAAGCAACGTAGTGGAGTTGTGGATTCATTTTATCCAATTTTGTTTTTTAAGGATCTAAAATTTTTTCATCATTATTTTTATTTTACCTTTTACTGAGACAATTTGATTTTATATCCTTGTAAAGTAATTAAAATCTACTGTTATATAAACTAAGCATAACACATACATAGAGATTAAATGTGACTTTGGAGTTTTCATAGTGTAACGTAAGTGAGACATTACAAGGCTTGAAATTGCGTGTATACAGTTTATCCAAAGACTTAAGGGATAAGTTGATCTTAGAATTGATATTATATTCTCTCTCGCTGCGCTAAAGTTACGTTATAGAAACTCCGAGAGCACTCCAAGTCCCTCCATACTCCAAACTTTAACATCTCAAAGTGAACCTATTGATCGTCTCTAGCATTTACGTGGCTCTGTGTGTTGTTTATACATAGGCGAGGTGAAATTCTCGTATTTGTGGAAGAAATTATCCAATTTGACTTAAAACATGTTTTTCCATAATCACGTTGGGGCCAGGTGTGAAGGCTCATGGGTTCGAATCCCAGCTTCGCACTAGATCGGTGCCAGATCAAATAGGTATCAGTTACCATTAGATAAGCATGTGGAATAGTACAGTTTTGGTACAAGGGGCTCGCCAAAAAGGGTTAAAGATGGCCTAGTTGCCAGGCTTCGCCTCCCCACAACTACTGTTATTACACTATAATGCATTGCAAATAAATTACAGAGCTTTAAATCAAACTAGGACTAAAATAATTATCGGGGTCTTGTAGGGGGAGCATTGGACTTCAATTTAGACACTTTATAATCTCCAAAACGATAATTTTTAATTGAATATTAAATCATTGAAAATTACCATTGTTATTGTTTTCCACACTTTAAATAGCTAATAACTTGAAAACAGTCAACCTAAAAAAATACTTTGTCCTAGGCAAAAACATATTTTTTTTACAAATTGTCTAACAACTTTACATCGGGTTACCGCTGAGTGAACTTTTGATTCATGTTGGGGGACATCCAACAAACCTTGGTTATTAATCAAAATGGAAAACTCTGCCATAAATGCAAGGTCTTAGCCTCAATTAAAATAACCCACATGCCACCTAAGTGCTGTTAGTGGAACATTGCATATTGCATGTCGTTGGAGAGAAATCAATGTTCACCATTTCCATGCGAAATCGTTCTTGCGTTGGAGGAACAAATTAGCTGTCTACTGGGTGGTCAAAAAACAATGCAATCTTCATTTAGGTCACCTAAAGTAGTCGCAATTTTTTGAACTGGGTCACTACGATATCCTAAATAACTATGAGTAACATATTATCAACTGACCTCATAGTCGAGATCCACGTCCAGCGGCAAAAATGTCAGCTGCAGATATCGCAATTATTGGGACCCATTAGGTACTTAAGATTTTAATTTGATCATCTTTACAAACCATATCATCACTGTAAAAAGTACTGCAGCAACTTGAGTGCTTTATTCTGTAAGACCTGCCATTCGGTCACAATGAGTAAATACCCTTTCATCGAGCTTTTGAGAGTACATTACCCACAACAGAAAGTATGGATCAGTGGATCAAAACCTACTTCAACAAACTTCTTGAAATATTTCCCATCCCGAAGTATTTCACGCGATCCATACTTTTTATTAAAACAGTATCACGAAGTATCCATCCTTTATTAGAAAATTTAACTCTTAACTCCTTGCAACTAAAAAACATCAAATCAATCAAGAAACACGAAATTCGAGATCGTCAACGATGATACCAAAAAATCATTCAAAAAGAAAAATGGAAAAATTGTAATACTCCATTTACACAACTCATACCAAACACATCGAGCTCCTTGCGTGTTTGAGCACTTTTACGTAGAGTCCTAAATTTTTACATGAAGCAAAAAATAAATGATATTGCTAGTTTGCATGTTTTGATACATAACACAACAAGCCTGGTATCGGGCGCACTCTCAGCCAATTAACCTCAAGAATCCAGCGGGTGTCGGGAATAGAGGTTTAATTGTCTGTTTTTTTCTGGCCTCTCTGTATAAGTTGCGCTCCAGCCTTTAAACGATGTGTAAAACCTACACCTTCAGTGATGCTTTAGAAGTAACCCTGAGTGTTGCAACCGTGTCATTGATTTTAAGGTAAAGTTGTTTCGTGTTATTCTTTAGATTTTGAATACATCCACTGCTCAAAAATGTTTCTCACCTACTAATTTTTTTAACGATTCAAGTTAGCAAGCTGCCAGCTATTTTAACGAAAATATGACAGTTGACAATTCCAAGATGTTGGTTGGGCGCCATTTCAGTTTATTTTAAATCGACTGGGACCATGTTACTCCATTTTGAAGCTCCTTATCAATACTTGATAAGCCTCAACAACCATCAACACGATGTAATATCAACCCTAGTTTTTTCTCCTTCTAAATATGCAATATCCGTTTAAAAAATGACAGATTTCGACATTTCTTTTAAATGATTTAAATCATATCTTCCATATTGCATTAGATATTCTTTCCAAGAGTAGAATATTGATATACATACCATAAAGGCTCTGTATGTAAGTTCCACTATTTGATGAGTTATCTGTTATCACATTTGAAATTAAAGGTGATAAGTCCCGTCAAAATCTGATCAATAGTTTCACTCATATACACTTTATATATCAATATATCATCTTGTTTATATACAACTATCTATTATCTATAGAATATACTATAATTTTTCCGCTTGCATTTATTATTTTTATACCAAACGTGTGATCTATCATGTGAAATGATGGCGACGAGATGGTCGTATATGTATTATCAGTCTTTATCGTCATATTTTTCTACTTGCACATATTGTATATTATGTAATATTATCATAATCTAGATGTTTAATCGTATCATGTTGTATGAATGGTCTTCAATAGAAATGGTTCAACACGTTCCATTTGTGTAGTCTAGGTGACGAATCAGTAGAAATATGATAAACATAGCCGAGGCGAAAACCTCGTATTCGTAGAAGAAATTACCTTCTTGTTTGCGTAATAACGTTTGCTGGATGTTAATAATAACTTGATATTGACGACAAGCGGGCTTAGAGCTAAAAAAAGGCAGCCTCTTTTGTTTGATATTTGACAGCCCGCCTGATACTCCCGAGTGACAAGGAGAGTAAAGCATCTTCACAATAAGCATCCCGTAAGGAACAACTGAGTGTTTAATCAAACATCAACGTTAATAATGTTAGTACTTCGGATTGTCAAATCAACCAGCACGTGTCAGTAATTTTTTTAAGCTACTGATTTGTCTTCCTGACTAAATATGTTTAGAATTAATAAATATTGTACAAAGAAATTTTAAAAAATGACATCAATGGAAGTACTAGCCAATGATACCTGTTGGTGTTCATTTTTAAAGTTTCTTATGACGTAGATATTTACTTGTTTGACAAAACTGAGGCCAGGAGCATTTAGGAAACAAAATGTAATTAACACGACGTCAAATATATTGTCTTTGAATTTTTATCACTTAAATATTATGACAATTAAATATTATGCATATTTAAGGGTATTGATTTTTTACTGCATTCATACCTTAGATAAAAAACAAAAAGCCAGAGACCACGCAAGATTCGTTTTCAAAGGCATGACATTCAAGGTCAAAATCAAACTTAAACCTATTCTACTGGGGTATTTTCTCCCTAGAATAAATTGAACAGTTAATGGCTGAAATAGATTGCTTACATGAATTTTTCAAGAACCATGCAGTTTATTCTCGTTTTTTCGCAAGGGTATTAAAAAAACCGTTCGAAATTCTGACCATTTAATTCACTCGTTTTTTTTTGGTAAAAAAAAATCAGCCATAGGATTTTATGTTTATTCCGCATGCGCATAGAACCTATTCTAACTTTTGGAAGTAAAATTTTGTACTTATGCTAGAATAGAGTGCAGTCACCCTAAATATAATTTTTTTGAGGTAAAAAGTATCGATATTCTATACAAAGATTTCTGAAAATACCCTACCTAGTTTTACAATATTACCATTATTCATTGATTTGACCTTGAAGTAACCCTCATAAATTACATCCAATAGCATCCATATTTTTTTATTTCAAGAGCAAAATATTCGGGAAAACCCGATCTTCAGGGTCAAGGTCAAATCGTAAGAAAGATAGTTCCTACAACTGGAGTACGCGTTTTTGTATTCGTATTTTTCAAATATTTTTTTATTCAGCCTTCAAATTATTTTTGAAAGTATTAGACTTTTCCTTGTACCCATTCTGATGATCGAAATTGAGAGACCTTGGAGGTCAAAGTCAAAATCACCCGAAAGGGCAACCATTTATAAACGAGTGATGGTTTGGGCGAAGATGAGATTGTTAGACCATATAGATAATAAAAATGTGAAATTCCAGAACATAGAAAACTTAGGTCTATCAATGAGGAGCAATTGGTACGAAACAATTTGGTGAAGAGCTAGCTGGGGCTACAGCTCCACACCAAGATTTCACGTCCTTAGCTGTTGGGAGTGTCTTCTAGTCATGGGAAAGCAGAATAGCAAGCTCAAGCCTGAAGTTCTTGAGGATCTCAAACAAAATACGGAATTCTCAGGTATGTAAGTTGGTAGAAACATTGACTAACCTAGTGCAGCATAAGATACCCAAACCAACCATATGTACTGTATTTAGCTGCCAACGTGTTCAAAAGTGGACGTATTTCTTTGAAAGGAAAGTGGAGCATGTTTTTAATACTGTCAAGGGAATTTAGTTGTGACGATGGAAATTATAAGTGAACGTCCAAATACAGCATATAGGAAAATACTTTAATTAATGGTGGAAAGTAGAATTTCTGATGGAAGCATTGTAAATCTTTTTATATGCTACTAGCTTTCTGCCTCCCTGACGTGTAGGTCGCGCCACTAATAAAGTATTCAAGATTCTCAAGCAATTAAATTGGCTGGCACTTATTTACTAATGCCATCATTCACAAAACGTGATCGAAAATTTCATGTTATTACTTAAAAAAAAATGTTTTACTTAATAGTTTCAAGCGTACGAAGTGGCGGGAAACGGCTAGTGCACAATAAAATGTCAGTAACGGTTACAGGCTGACCGCGGAGACGACAGGTCGGGCTATTGTCAGCTTGACAATGTAACTTCATCCTTTGATGTCAATTAGTATACGTAAATCCAATTTGGAGATTGGTCCAAAATGGCGTTTATTATTACCAAAGTCAACTCTATACTATGCGTATAAAATGAGAGGGCTTGATGACGGAAATATAATAAGTAAAATCACGTTATTCTAAAATTCTTTGATTTCTTGCAGATGCCGAGATCCAGGAATGGTACAAGGGCTTCCTGAAAGACTGTCCGTCCGGCCACTTGTCCGTGGACGAGTTCAAGAAGATCTACGGTAACTTTTTCCTTATGGGGACGCTAGCAAATTTGCCGAACACGTGTTCCGCACATTTGACGCGAACGGAGATGGTACCATCGACTTTCGGGAGTTCCTTTGTGCTCTCTCGGTTACTTCCAGAGGGAAGTTGGAGCAGAAACTCAAATGGGCGTTCAGCATGTACGACCTGGATGGGAATGGGTATATTTCTAGGCAGGAGATGCTAGAGATTGTTACGGTAAGGATATTATATTTTCAAAAAGAAACCGACTTTTAGGCACGTATAAATGTAGAAGTCAGACAAATTAAAGAGGAAAACAGATAGTGTCTAGAATAGAAGGGATGCAACTTCCGGATATAGATCCAATAAATGATGAGGAAATCGACAAATACAGCTGTGAAAGAGTACAGAAAATCATGAAAGAAATATCCAACGAGTCAACGTCATTATAGTCGAAACTGAATAGTCAGCAATTAATACATATGAATTGACAAACGGAGCTATACATACAACTAAAAACTTGCAATGACAAAGCATCGAATCCATCATCCCAAAGCAGCAGTAGAACGAATAAAACTGAAGAGGGCCGACGGAGGTACAGGCCTGATAAACATGCTCAATCTACATAACAAGAGTAGAGATATGTAAACTTCCTATCGTACAGTCAGAGTCCAAGTGCTATGCCACCATCATAAAAACAGACAAATATACTCCACTAACTCTGAGCGAATATATAAATCAGTAAAACTCTATTGAAGTGATATTTGCGACGTCAAAGAATTTAACATCACAAACACTACAAGCGCACCTTTATCAACAATAAGAAAACTGCTGGACGTAGAATACGATTTGCTCGATCAACTCTCCACCCCTCTATTATCGTTATCGTTCCCGGACCTCCATCCGTTCCCAGATTTGAAGAAACTTCTTTATGGAAAGCGTTGTTGAGTCCGGAGTTAAGAGAACTGCAGATGAATATTTTGACAGACTTTCAGACATGTACTTCCGCAAAGAAATCCTAACGTTAAACCAAGTATGTTGGAATCAAAGGGGATTATTTCTACCCTACCCTCTTACAGCTAATCCGTATCATCGTGTATGTAAAGACTAAGGAGTAGTCCCAGGAAATCTCGGTTCCGAAAGTCTCGCCATATTATTCTATAGGAAAGCTATATAAAAGCTGGAGTTTTTGTTGCCATTTTGTATAATGAAGGTTTTTTGTTTCAGGCTATCTACAAGATGGTGGGCAGTGTCATGAAAATGCCCGAGGACGAAAGCACGCCCGAGAAGCGCACCGACAAGATCTTTAGGCAGATGGACCGTAACAAAGACGGCAAACTAAGTCTCGAGGAATTCATAGAGGGTGCCAAAAGCGACCCTTCTATCGTCCGACTACTACAGTGTGATCCACATACGCAGTAGTCTACTTCTGATTCCTAAATGTCCCCAAATCACGCCTCCGTGAAGCTCCTCCTTCAATGGGAAGGGCTGCGGCGTGATCCTAGCCTCATACATCTCTAGGCCAATCGATCGGTGGATGCAGTGTGATAACCCCTCAGCTATCTTTAGGCCACGCCTTCCTAAAGATCCACATACTAAGAAAACGGCTGCAACGATTCTTTCGGTGGATGCAGTGTGATCGCGCCTTAATTATCCTTAGGTCATGCCATCGTGAAGCTGCACCTTCTGTGGAAGGCCACGCCACGCCCCCTAAAGCGCCGCTTACTGGTAGAGGGGCTACTATGATTCGTTCGGTGCATGCAGTGTGATCGCGCCCTAGGCCATGCGTCTAAGCCTCATCCTTAGAGTGAGGGGCTACAGTGTGAACCCTACCCTATGTGTCCCCGCCTTCCTTTAGTCATGCCCGTCTGCTGCTGAAGCTCCGCCTTACTAGGGGAACAGTACAACTCGGTTGCTTCGCGGACAGATGCGCATCTAGATTCTAGACTCTCAAGAACTGAGCAGGTTGCCGAGTGTTATCGTTCTCGCTTATCGAATGCGAGGGTTTCTGATATCAAATGGAGAAGAGGTCTAGATCTAGATGTCTATTAGACGTTTTGTTATGTTGTAACGTGGTGCTGCATAAATCCTAATCTAAAATACTAAAAACAGAGATAATGAGAACCAAGCAAAAGTAACTTTTAAATATGTATGGAACCTCAAAAAATATGACAAACGCAATGAAAAAGAATGAGCGAACTGTAGCAATTGAAGCGCGTACTACCAGTTCAAATAACCGCTCACATGAAGCGTTAAAGTTCATTGGTTTTTAGAATGCGACAACGTCTGGCACCACTGACACATGTTTTGTACTTCAGTAGAGTTTAGAGAAAAACGTTCCTATTTCATTAGATATTATCTGTTTCATTATTCTTTCGTGATATTGAACTGAAAATTTAGTTTTAATAATATAAGTATTATATTACTAGAGAAGTGACGTAATCTTATAGGCGATATCTAATATGTGTATTGGTTTGTATCATAGTGATACAAATATATTTAAATCTGTTTCTGTAAGGTTTTTCGAATTCGCACGGATTTCTAATTTATTATAACGACAATAATTTAGGGAAAATGATCGTTATCTCTCTGTGGAGTGACCGAGGCTGTCAAACAGAATATGCAGGGTAAGTCATTCAAACTAACAGTTACCTGAATATTGTTCAAATCCGACATAAAGTGGATGTAAACACAGTCATGGAAGTTGGACAAGGTCAAAGAGTGCAACTAATATGAGTAAAATAGCAAGATTTCCGTCGGATCTTTGCGATTGACCCAAATATTTTGATATTGATTCGATAGACTATTATACCGGGTGTTCGCTATACAAACAAGCTTGTTCAAGTCTTTTTAAATAATTTCTTGGGAAATAAATTAGCCAATAACAGATACATTTGTTTTCGAGAAGTACAAAAATATTCAGAGGCATTGGAAAAATCTTCAGGACCTCCAAAGAGACACCGTTATTGGATTTTTCTGATTTTTCATTTGGTGAAATCAATTTTATATATTATTTAAAAAATGTTTAATTTGGCCACGTTTTATAACAGACCCCAATAAAGATATTGTTATGATTGTTAGCTTGGATGATTTTTTCTGTGAAAATAATATCCCAAAATTATTTCTCCTTCCCAGGCACCCTCTAAATGTGAAAGACAACAGACTTTTACACCTTTTGCGTTTGCATACCTTACTCTCTGCGTCAAACTCTTGTGTGATCGCGAGGAATTTTGGCAACGTCCCAGTTTGACAAGTTCAGTAGCAACAATCTTGAATTTTACATTATAAAAACATGTTTTATATATTAAATTTTTGTACCTTTAAACTATATCTTATTTAGGAGCCACATTTTGGGACTGAAACAGTAGACTTTGAAATTCTTTACAAATGACGTAACATTACGGACAAGAATAGTTAAAACGAAAACCTGTCGGGTTAAAAAACAAAGGTACGTTATCATTCCAAAAAATGTAATCAAACAAATTTTTGGACCTCATAGAATATGCTTTTTAGCTTGTCATATTACTGATGAAATTGTTCTATATCTTATGTTCAATCACATCTAAATACTTTATGTTCGGTGTGAGATTTTCAATGTATTATTATTATTATTGTTGTTTGAAAATAGAGATTATTATAGTCAAGAAAACTCATTTTATGATATATTATTCAGTTCTAGATCTCTGACTCCTTATTAGCCTGTTTAGCCGATCTACTTTCCCTTTGTGTGGTTTATATATCGCTCACTCTGAGTGTCAATTGTCAACCGAAAACTGAGGATCTAGCTAAACCCTCGCATAGTTTTAGTTAATTTAAATTTAAGCTAAGAGATTTTTGACTATATTCTAGGGGAAGATTTGTTATGATTTCCGTAGAAAGTTCATCAAACTGACAACATTGCATGATGTTATCAACCGGTTCGTTAGAAAGTACGTTGAAGCAAAGCTATGGGATTGGTTCATACCGTAACGCAATGTTGCCAGCTTGACCAGCTTTCTACGGAGATCTAAGGAAGTCTTCCATTCTAAGTAGTGAATCCAGATTGAACTTTTCCAAGATCGAATATTTTAAAACGCTTATTAGGAATTGTTAAATCGAAGTTTCTGTAGTACATTTCCTCAAAACGCTTTTGGAAAAGTCCAGCCTGGAAAAAACATGGTACTTACTGTAATGAGATAGGTGAACATGGCCCTTCAAAATTAATGGATGTAGTTAAAAAAAAGGATATATTTGATATAAAAAGTAATTGAAAGAATTAAAATTATTCTGTTATATGTCTCAAAACATATGGACAATGTGGGCAAAGTTATTATTGAATTATTGGGTGAGTTGAAGCATGAAGGTTTCGTGCCTTTTTTTTTCATTTCACATGTGTATCCTATTCCTATCTCATTATGTTATTTACCTGTCAGTTCGATTTTCTCAAAACTTCTTCGATAAACTTATATCCCAACTTTTTCTCTTCTCTAAGATAATATTGTAACTATCTTTCTCGAATATTCCTACTCTCTTACTCTTCAGCTATAACAATTAATGTTACTGTTTTCAAAGTTTTTATGTGATTCAAGGGAAGTTGAATTTTTGAGTGTAGTCTGATGATACCTATTTTGTCGTGTTTACAGATAGCTCTAAAGACCTTTGCAGACAATCTTGCACATTTTAGATTATAGCATGCTACTCTCATATGCCTCACAATTTTGAGAGCAAGGAAACAGTTTGGCAACAGTACAATAGATTTGTGGAGCTTCTTTTCCAAAAAACCATTGTGACAAACCACGAGGTTGGAAAAATAACACGTGGTATTTTTTAAATATTAGGCATACAGTATAATCTACAATGTAAATAAAGTGTACTGAATGCTCTGCAATGGTTTTTATAACTATATAGTTACTTTTATACGGCGCTAGAAATGGCAAAACAAAACAGTAAGCGACCGATTTAGGGTTTTTTCGATGTAGTTAAGAGTAGTTTTAAGAGGTCGCTTGTCTACGACAGCTCGCCATATTTGTCTGCAGTTTCTTTGCCAAGCAATAGTAATGTCTCTTTCCTTTATAGAACATCAAATATTTGGAGCAGGAGATATAGAATCATACTTCAAAATATTCCTCTCCTCTATTTTCTGTCAACCCTTAAGTTGGACCATTGGTTAACGTATTCTACTTGAAGATATTCATTAATGTATTTAGGCATCTTAAAAGGGACCTGGAAGATACTAGCGCTATCTATGAGGTAGTAATAAATCACAAAAATCAATTTAGAACTATACTTGAGGAAGAGTTAGAGTGTTTGCTTTTGCTACTGTTTCAGATATGATGTTTCCAGATAGCACAAGCACGTGGAAATAACGTTGCAAAGTGGAAATGACCAGAAATGACGAGGTGAATGACTTAAAAGTAACATAAAAATGACCTAATGTCACATGCCGATGACGTCATATGGCAGACGTCAATAATACGTTTATTATGTATAATGAATAATCAGTTTTAGCTTGTTTAAATAATCATATATTGTGCTACCAGTAGTATTACATAGATATAGCACCATTGCAATTCTGGCTCGATGCTGCTCGCCTAGCGATGAAAGACGACCTATTACTCATCTCTCACTTTGCCATTTCGCGTGACGTTTGGGATCGGAATACTATGCTAGGGTTGCCATTTCTATACACAGTACGTGGAGGTTGGAGTAACGAGACGCGGCCACCAAGTACAAATGGCGGAAGCGAGAAAGAATAACGTCGATTACAGCGATCCACGATTGTCGTTCACTATCTATTGTCACTCGATACAGCGTTGCTAGATTAAACGTAGAAACACTTCCAAGAATACTTAATACATTGGATAGCTAAAATGTGATATATATTTTTTGTTTTTTTATGTTCTATCTAAACGTTCGTCCAATAAGGTCATTTTTTGTTCATTTTGCACTCGCACTTATTCTTAAAAATCATTAAATAATATATATCGAATCGCTAGAAATGTAAAAGAGAAATGAAATATTATACGGCAACACCGTAATAATTTGTTATTTTAAACAACTTTGGGTTGGTTTGAGTAAACGTGATGCGGGATGAAATGAGACAATTATTTCTCTGACTTGATCCGTTTTGAATCGGAGAGATTGATTCTAAATGAACAAAAAAATCATACGTATGGGTGATCACAACGTCAATACACGTACACAACTGGTGAGTAGACGTCATTACTACATCCATATTTGGATCAATCACACCAGTTGACGAGTTATTACCAGATTTCTCGACGTCATTCTGACGTGCTTGTGCTAGCTGAGGCTAGGATCTTCAATCCCTTTTAGGCGTGTCGAATACCTATTTTAATTGGGTATGTTTAGGCATTGATTAACGTTTTTCACCTGAAGATACCATTTTAAATTAGGCATTAGAGAGGCGTCAAAAGCGACTGAGGATCTTAGTGGCATCTATCAGACAGTAACAGAACCAATGTAGCTCTGTTTCAGTTTGATTTTTGAAGTCATTTTTGTGTTCTGTTACTGTAGATGGCACTAGTATGTTTCATATCGCTTTTGGGACGCCAGAATACAGTATGTGGTTGGGTGCCTCCAAGTAGAATACGTTAATTAATGATTTAACACTTTTTTTTACAAAATCAGTGTGAGCCGTTATATTTCCTGCACCAAGCCACTTTTCAAATTTCCATGTAACATATAGTGTATTTTATTTTTTTAAATGTTGAATAGTAGAAATTACACACCGTTTTTCGGATTGTCCTTGTATACCTGCACTCATTCACTGTGGTATTTCATATAAGAAGAAAAAACGAAGAAACAATTTCTTATGTGAAGCCAATCGCAAGAAAAATTCAGAATTGTTTTACACAAAATGCTTAGAAGTGCCATATATGAAGTTTAGTCAATAGGCAAGAATCTTTTTGTGTAAAAATTGTTATATTTCTGATTGGCATAGGTGTTAAGATTTTTGTTAAAATAAATGTACATTCAATGAAAATGAAACAAAATCCTCGACTAAGCTAGTGTTCCAAAATCTGTTTGCTGACTAGGCTGTTTTATTATACTTATTTGCTTACTATGACGGTTTGTTTAGCAGTAAGTCAAATTTAAATATCGATTTGGCAACACTGCCGTAGTTTTTTTAACCAATGGCGATACAGTTATGATCTACTGTCATTTAAACTGTCACTTCAATCTCAGTTCACATGGTTACCCGATTTTTGATAGATTTGATATAAATTGACTGACCCCCTCTTAACTTTTTGGTATGAACTTTTAGAAAAAAATCTATGTATATCAAAAGGTGTAGTGCTTAATATAGAGTTTTTCAGGAAATGTCTCAGAAAAATACTCTCGAATTAAGTTTTTTTTAAAATTAATCAATCTGTATATTTTTAGTTAAAATGATAGAGCTTTTTTTCGTTTTAAAAATACATATAGTCTATTATGCTTATTTCATTACTTTATCCAAACGCTTGAATTTTATTAAATCATAATGTATCCCAACCCTATACCATATTGCATAAGCGTCTAGATGCAAACTAGTTTGAATTGGAATAGGTACACATGAATAAATGAAACACAAAATTTGAGTTTTTGCTCAAACTAATGAAAATAAGTATGAACTATATATTTGGAATCCGAAAAAATTCATTTACGCTAAAATTATACATTTGAACGAATTGAACTTCATTCCATAGCATTTATCTGAGCCATTCTGTATGTGAAAATGATGTTGCATATAAAACTTTATATTAGATCCTACAACTTTAGTATATAACTTTTTTTTTCTAGATACTCACTATAAAGCGAGACACACTGTACATCTTTGATTTTGACTAGTGTTTTCAAGTAGCTTATAACGAAAAATTGTGTGAACTAGTTTTGAAGGTTACATATGTGATTTATTTTATGACGTGTTGAAAAAACGAGGCCTAAAAATATACTCATTGGAGTAATATCTAAACCTTCAATAGACGTTTCTTTCAGTCACTTCCAAGGTTGAAACAACAAACCAAATACTTTTGAAATCAAGAAAATAATGAGGTGATTTTAAACTTTGCACTCAGACTAAAGGATCAAGGTCTATAAGCAGTGTTTTCGGTCCTCGAAATAACTCACTTTCAAGTTGAAAGTGTCCATTACATTTTTGGCATTTAAATATTCTTTAATGTATATTAACATTCTTATTTTTAATTTCTTACTTGATTGATCTTTAAAAGCTCAAAGTTCACCATTTTGGCATTTTTGTTCAAAATTCCATATTTAACTTACTGTATGTTCGTGTTATATGAGCTCAATGTCGCAACACTTTCTACTACAAATCTATATTAAACTACACTAAGACACAAACCATATATAAAAATGAAAGTGTTGCTTCCCTGCGCTCACAATAAAACCAAAAGTTGAAATACACACAATTGTAATAAGACTTCTACTTTTTTTTTAATATACATACAGTGGAGCAACACTTCACTTTTATTTTTGTATATTTTGTGTATCCGATATTTTATTGTGTTACGACCATAATCTCATATAAAAATGCTAAGTTAATTATTTGAAAATGGCCTAATTTTTGATAAAAAAGCCATAATTGCGAACGTTAGGCTCTAAAAATACGTAAGCTAAGATATTAAAATTCAAGGATTTCATCATTTAGAAATATGAACTTCTTCCACCCCCCCACCCTTTATAGACCCTGATCACTTTTTGACTTTGACAGCTGACCCTTAATAGCTAGTGTCCTTACATAAGGGCTTCTTGTATTTCAGTATATATGTTCTTAGAACCTTGGAAGTTGATAGCATCAGTACTGTTCTAAGTAACAAATGAAGTTAAAAAATAGTTTCTGTATATAGGGCCGTCCAATAGGCCTTAGTTTTTCGGGACACAACATTTTGTTGTTCCATAACACGCAAATACATAATGTAGACATGCGAGATCGGATTTATGTAAATCTCCACTATCTTGAGATTTTTCCCTTCCTTACTGCGAGATTGTGGTTTTATCAGATAAACTTACTTGTCTATTATACATGTAATATCAAAATAAACATTGATGATAAACATTAATCAAATGTTATATAAGTAATCATGTTTTATTCTAAATCCCCACCCATTTATGTTTTCAGTAGACCGAACAGCTCTTATTGCCATCAATATACATACAAAAGTATGATCTCCTATTTTTTTAAAATACAAAAAGCATGTACATGGTGTTACTTGATGATAGGCCGTAATAACAAGTGCGCATTCCTGAAGCAAATTCAAGTAGAAAAGTTCACAAAATCAAGTGACCTAGAAAGTATGTGATTTCCAAGATACAGGATGTCAAAGTTGAAAAAATGTTTTTCTTTCTGTGACGGTAAAAAAGTTTGACATTTTATCCATGTTGACAGGTAACAAAATGTCACTTTTTATGAAATTACGTTTTTCCCCAGGAAAAAAATTAGTACTTTTTTTCTGGATATTGTAAATACATATTTAGCTGGCAGTAATTGTTGTGACGCTACTTTGGCTACTTCTACTAATTCCGGTGGAGTCAAAGAAAACTCGGAAATAGACATTTTTTACGTTATAGTAATAAAAATAACTTCTAAACAACCACTAAGCTCACAATTTTTAAATCAAATTACAAAATTACATTGACAGCTATTTGATTACTTTAAAAGTTTCCTTAGCAACGCAGGTCTAATTGTCGCTATAAGTACAACATAACCTACTACTTTCAAAATTCAAATTTCAAATCGATAATTTTCTGACTTAAATATTGTAATAATATAATTTTTCAATATTAAATCGTACACGGGAAAAATACTAGATTTTAGTAGTTAAATCTTGTACTTGTGTCCCTTGTATAATCTATAAATATATCAAATATACTTGTGTCGATTTTGTTTTGGTTAACAAAAACTAGAAGGTAATAATGAATTCCAGTGCCGTCTCGGGAGGGGGGAGCAGTCTTATGAATAATATTCCCAAAAGAAAAATGTAGACCAGCCAGATATAAAAAATCGCATTATGCAGCTAATGATATAACTTTTTTGTCTCTTGAAAAGAATGAACACTTCATTACGTGCCCAAAAATTGTTAAAATGTTCAAGGACAGCCAGCGTGGATCAATTCAAAGATAGCGGGTGTTAAAGCTAATCCAACCAGCATGTGTGGCTAAAAATTAGCACTAAACGCCCAAAAAACATATTCGCTTTACCGCTCAGTCGCAGATATCTTGTTAATTATGTATCTAGGGCGTTAAATAGACGTTTCTGACCCGCGGTGAATATAACAGCCTAAGTTGCAGAGCCGTGGGCTCCAACACGGCAGTTTATTCTTTGTATACTATCCAATATCCATTTTCCCCGTAGATATAAGATTCGAGTAATAATAGAATCGAAATAGTGTTAAAAATCTGCGTGGGTGCCTGGCCAGCTATCGAATCTCGGAGAACCCCAGAAAAAACAAACATACAAAATTTCACAAAAATAATACAATCTGGACGAGTGGGAGATGGTAGATCTGCGATATTTCGACGGCATACCGCAGCGACGCTTCTTATTCTGTTCAAAACGACTGAGGCGTCGCGACGTGAAGCTATTCTGTTACGTGATCATAAATCAGGCCTGAGTTTCACAGCTTTGCACGCAATTTTCCTTTCCTAGTGCTTTACATAAGCCGTATTCACATTCCTAACTACATTTAGAGGTAAGTACCACCTTCATCTAGCATGCTATAAAACAGTAGAACATCGAAGCCATAGCTAACTAGCTTTATCTTACGCTCTATAAAGTTTATTACAAAGCTCTGATCAAAAGCTTTGCTATTTCTTGGTGTGCGATGAAAAACAAAAGTTGTCGAGGTCATTTGCCAAACCTAACTATATAGATAGTTTGCCATATACATTGCATGCAAGGTCTTTTATAAATAAATTTTGGCAATTGGGTGGACAAAATGGTCGGTGTCAGTTTTGAAAAAAGTGATACCGGGCCTGACGCCATTTTAAGAGAAACCGTTGCACTTTGTGTTCTAAAAATAAGATTGCCGATTTTTGTGAATAAAAGAATCAAGTATTGGCATTGGCGTGCTTTAAAAAGTGTTCGCGGGGGGTAGCTGATTGAGATTTGAGATACCTGCATTTTTCACAGACTATTAGAGTCATAGTCAATAGGACAAAGTGAAGCAAGTGTATCGAAAATATCTGCACGCATTGTGCAAGGAAATGGTTAGGAAACACTGTGCTGTATAAAGATGAAGTTTATGTAGTATTGATTAACGTATATTCCGCCAAATGAAAGCCTGAAAATAAACTTAAAGAGGAGTATAATCTTGGCTGACTATAGTAGTACAAGGATCCTGAGATTGCAGGCTCGCCGCAAAGAAGTTCAAGCTGGAAAGAACGTTTGTTCTTTGTTGATGTAGGACTGCCGAAAATGTTTATTTCCTTCATCAGGACTCACCACAAGGATTATTGTACGACAATTTCTATCAAATACACTCTCAATGAAAAAACAACAGCATTATTAGTAGTAGTCATTGAAGTCATTGAAAAAAAGCATGTGCCTTGGCGTCACCAACCACTCATGCTTACAACTATCATCAGAAGCGTATCTAAGATGTTGCACGCGATGCATTGTCACCCTCGGCGGTGAAAGGCCAATAGAGTGAGAAAATGTATCTTGGGTATCTTTACATTGGTGCATCCCCCTGCTCCCCGATTTTTTTCACCGGTGGATTACGCTCTGTTACAGTGCCATTTCAATCATATTCTTAGCCCCCTACAAAGCCTTTGCTTGGGACCTGTGAGACATTAGATCGGCCACTGATCATCATATTTGTCAAGCACCGTCTTTAGTTCTCAGCGTCGTTGCCTCTCAGATTGTTGACGAAGCAGGGCAGTAGTCTGCTCTGAACTAAAAATTCAAAATTTGTGTATAAAACATTATGAAGTGATCATACGACATATGGTATTAAGGGTTATGTAGGATGGAATACAACAAAATTTCGATATCCTGTATTATAACATACTTTCACTACCTGATGTCCTCAAAGCTCTACATGGTACTTCCTTAGCATCAGGTTTAATTGAACAAGCGTAACAGTAAAGAGCTGGTTTTGAGTTTACAAAAACAACGCATATTGTTGCAGGCTGCAGTTGCACTGTTCAAGCATACTACGAAGAATAAATTGTAGAAAAAATTATCATGGTCATTGATACTGATAACCACTTCTTTTAAATTTTAAGTGGTCCCTAGGGAGTCGAGATTGTGGACCAATCTAGGCAGTTAAAAAATCGGATTAACAAAGTTTTTTGGAATCTTCATAGCAGCGGCGGTGCTCTGGCATTTAGGTTTCAACCTGCGCGGAAAATTAAGCTTTTTCATCACTTCTAAGAGAATTACTGCAACCCTGCTTGGCAACATGGTTGTAACGATGGAAATTGTATGTGAGGCTAAAAATACAGCAGATTGCATATACTTGGACAATACGTTATAAATAAATAAATAAATAATAAATAAAATCTTTATTGACATTTGACTTAAAAAAGTATCAGCAAATTGTCAAGGATGAATGAGAAAAAAATACTCAAAAAGTTGTGATCCAGATATCTCTAAATAAATTAAATAATACAAACATAATGTATACAAAATAAAAACATAAACAAACAAATTAAAAAGATATGAAAATAAATAAACAAAAAGAGACGGACGAACAGATTGACAACAGATTAAAAATATATTGTTTGAAATAATACAATTTACAAGTCTGATTTAGTAAGTATTCTTCAATGCTGTAAAAAGGATTTACCATAAATAGACTTTCAACTCGGGGTTGGAAAGCATTGGTGACAGCTCTGATAAAAATTGGCAACTTTTTGAACAATATGATAGGCATTATGAGGGGACCCTTTGCTGATAAAGCAAGGCTCTGTTGAGGGGTACGCAGACAGTATGTACCTGTATTCCTTAGATTGTAACCACTCTCCACATTGCTTCGCGACTCATATTTTTCAAAGTTCTTTCGCACATGACATACACAATTAAAAACATAAAGTGAGTATATCGTTATACGAGTAATGTGGAGATCTTTGAATAGTTCCTAACAAGAAGTGAGCTTATTACTAAATGTCATTGTACGAATCACTCTCTTCTGCACAAGTAGCAAATCCGATAATGTATGTGAGCTGCTACCCCAGCAAACGATACAGTAATTCATGGCTGACCGTACGTGAGCAAAATAGTACATCCTAAGCACTTCAGTGCTGACAAACTTCCTTATTCTCCATAACACAAAGCAATTCTTTGATATTTTGTTGACTAAACAGTCAATATGATCCCTCCAAGTAAGCCTTGAATCGATCATAACACCCAGGAATTTAGTGACCTGAACCTCGTTCACCCTCGTTCCGGTAATTTTGAGGTCAATATCACAATCTGTCTCTCGCAAGCAAAAGTGCATCAGTTGCGTCTTCTGTTCATTAAGTTCTATGTTATTCCTTACACAGTACCTCTCCATGTGATATGATGCAACTGACAACTCGGTACTGAGCTGAGTTGTAATAATGTAACAAAATGCTGCTCCATGAAAATGGGCGCATCGTTGACAAACAACAAGAACAATAGAGGCCCTAGTATGCTTCGTTGCGGAACACCAGTTAAGACAACCTTGGCGCTAGAAGATAACTTACATCTACCATTATTAATGACAACTCTTTGTTCCCTGTCCGATAGTTAACTTTCTATCCAATTTAAAGCGCTTCCTCTGACTCCGTAGTTATTACGCTTTTCGAGTAAAAGAGCATGGTTGACAGTGTCGAAAGCACGGCTTAAATCTATAAAGAGACAACAGATTTTTTCTTTCTTTTCAAGGCGGGTTAAGATAAAGCCACACAAAGACAATAAATACTGCATCGTGTGTAGGTAGGTTTTTCCACAGAAAAAGGTATCAATTTGGATTTAAATCCAAATTGGTGCCTATTGATGATATTGAATTTGTCAGCAAATTTTATCAGTTTATTATAATAAGCCTTTTCAAAACATTTTGCGAGTACGGATATCAAAGAAATGCCCCTATAATTAGCCATCTTGGTGATATCATCTTTTTTATAGATTGGTATAACAGTGATTCTTCCAGCTTATAAGGAAATATACCTTCTGCAAAAGACAGATTTAACAGTGCTCTCAGAGGCTTTACAACTAAGTCTATGATATTTTATAGGAATGAGCATGGTACTTCATCAATGCTATGAGGCAGGAGCCTAGGTCTTTATTACCACATTGGCATTCAATAACTACTTTGATCTGAACAATATCTCTTGATTCAAACACGACAAAAAATTAAAAATCGTGTCACATCTAGGACCGTCCCTTATGTTTTTAGCTAGACAAACTAATCAACAAAGGTTCGGCTGATCATGGGCAGCCCTGTATTTTTTTATCACCGTTTGTTGATTGTTTAATCCAGTTAAAAATTACGTCCTTTCATACAAAATAGGTGTCTTCTAATTTACAGAATACGAACCTATTATCCCTATGTTTGATCAGTTAAAAAATAATACAGGTACTATTGGCGTTAGCGTTTTCGTTTGGTGAAACTAGTTTTGCGTCGGTGCACATTTTGTGTTGTTTTGTCAAAACCAGTGTATACCTGTATATTCACGTTCTTTTGGTTTATATTTTGAACTAGTTTTGTACTCAGTGCATAAATATCGCACGACCGGAAGGTGCTCGTGCTGGTGTTGTCAAGTACCAACAGTATCACATTTTGCAGCTTTTACTTGTAGCTTTGCACGCAACCATTTGTAACAGCCAGTTTTTGCACGGTTTTCTCTTCTCTTCGAAAATTTTCCATAACAGCACGGAAAAAGTCAACGAGATGTAAGGAAATTTTCCATTGACAGATGATAGCACGAAACATGAAATGAGATATTTTTTATGTTCTTTTTGGGTCAAGTTTAGGATGAACCAGTGCAGTTTGTTTTAAATACTAAAACTGTACGAGCTTTATCAAAAGAAAACTGACTATGACGCTAGAACCGAGGTCTTAGAGCCACTTTGACAATCAACAATTATTGACTCTGAGCGATCCCAATTAAAAAATGACCAAAAATATTGGAAATCGTGTCCCTAATTCTGCCCCCCCCCCATCCAATACGTCCCTGGGGAGAGTATAAATAGGATACTAACGGAACACCGGCATTAGCATCGCACAGGCACAGCTTACCGGTATATGCCACAATCTATCTTTAAACTCTCTTGGATTTTTGGGGAATATCTGGACAGCGTGCGTTGATATGAAGGTCAAATAGGTAATTTGTTACTTTGTGATTGACTCTGGCCGACGCATGGGCGATACAGTACATATATTATTACTCTTTAACAACCTAGTTTTTTGGAAGTTATAAGTAGAGAAAACGCTTTTGAGCGAGAGATGCACAAAGGTTGGTCGATGTCCAGAAGAGAATGGAAGTAACAACATTCATGAATTTCTTAAAACATATGCGTTGTAGGTTTTTTTTTTATTAATGGCACTGGGATATAACCCATCAGCCAGCCGTTTTGTAGATGCTGATGTGTTTCCAGTTTATATTGGTAAACTGGTTGAATACGTGGCATTCTCTACGACGAACTAGTCTTAGGAACTAGTTCGCGAACAAACTATTTTACGCAACAATCCCATATAATGCATCATGTCAGTGAAAACACCGC